TTTTTTATCTTGTAGTCTTAAATATATCATATGTATAGTTAAACTTAAAAATTGACAAAAAAGAAAGAAATATTTTTCTATGTTATGAAACAAACTAAAAGAACAGTAAAATAAATAAATTAAAAAATAAAGTAAAAAATATTAGAATGATAGCACCACAATGGAGTCTAACTAAATGAGAATTTGTGCCGAGAAATTCTACATTAGGGGGTAAAATTCTTCGTAACAAAGGTGAATCCGTACCCAAAGAAACTCGAAGCTAAGACTTTTTGCTTCAAAGACAACTCTGTATTTAAGGGGACTCGATTTTCAGACCTCTTAGTTAAAAAAGCAACTCCTATATTCAAAGAAACTCAAACCTAAAACCTTTTGATTATAACTTATGAATGAAGAAGTACTTACCACTCCACTACATTGATATTATATATCAGTTTATCAGCACTTATATGTTGAATGCCACGTGAGAAATTTACATTGTCATAAGTCATAACTTACCATATATTATTATAAGTGGAAAACTCCTAACTTAAAAGTTGTATTACCATCTTGCCCTTATTTTATCCCTAAATTAAATTAAATATTAATATATAATTTATTTAATATTAAATAATCATATTTAAATATATGCATCTAGACACAATGGTTTAAATTCTAATTATTTATATACTAAGTAATAATTATATTATATTATACTAAATACTAAAAATAAGAAGGTGTATAGTCAAACTTTGAAATACAAATATATTTTACAGAAAATTGTTAGAAATTTATTTCATAGGAAATTGTTAGGAATTTTTTTTAAAATAAAAATTATCTATTCTTTCTCTATAATTAATGTGATTAAATGATTAAATTTGTTATCCTCTCTCTCTTTAGTTAGTATAGTTAAATGTATTAAATTATTAGTAAAAACAATCACCTTTCCTCTACCACATGTCGAAGATCACTTAACTTTTGAAAATTAACTTAAACAACTCTTTACCTTCTCATCTTATCCAATGAATCTTTAGCTATATATATATGTATCATGAAAAAATAATTTTTCTTTATTGCTTGCCTCGTGTTGATGTGAATCATTAGGCAATTTTCAGGTACTTTTTTTTTGTTTTGAAATATTAATATTTGTTGATCCTCCATAGAATGATATTTTGTATCATAAATTTTATCTTTACCATTTTAGATTTTTTTTTATTATGGGAGGAAAAAAAACTCTACTCCTTGTGTATTTCTTTTTACTATATATATTGTTATAATAAAAGTCTTAAGAAAGATATGAATGTTGTATTTATTCTTATCTGTTTAATTTTTTTGTATTATTTACCGATTATACTTCTTTTATATAATCTTCTATGAAATTATGAATGTTATAAGTCTATTTTTATTAGTGCTGAAATTACTAATTTATGACATTTAGATTCGTTTTTTAATGTTATTTTATAATATTTAATTAATTTTATCTTTCCTTACTAATATAGTTTCTTTAAGTAGCTACATATTTGTTTACTTACTAATATGGAGCGTAATGAGAGATTATTAAGGATAATATAGACATATATTCATATTATTAGATGCTATAGTAATATATTTTTCCATATTTCTTGCTTGATGGTCAATGTACTATTCGATTATTATGAATTTTATTTAATGAATAAAATATAAATTGATAAAACTAATATTTCTAATTTCAACATTATATAATAATTCAATTTTATAATAATTGTAAGGGACAAACGTGCAACGCACGTTTTGGAAACTAATCTTTTAAAAAACATGAGCATTTACCGAAACATTAAAATGAAACAAAACAAATACAGTTTAAGAGAGAGATTAATTGGTAAGAATTTACTCACAATTAGATATATATGCAATTTTTTTTTATCATATAATTAAAATAAAGTAAAATATATTAATTAATTAAGATTAAGTAATTAAACTATATATTCAAACATATGGCATGCATGTATTGAATTGGTATATACATGAATAAATTTTAGTCTGATTAAATGATAATATTAATTATTATTAATAATAATAATATTATTATGTGAACTATAAAGAAATTTGTGAGCCTCTCATTTTGTTAGAATTAGTTATATTGGCAAGGAGAAAAGAAGGGAGGGAACTCAAAAGAAAACTCTCTAATCTAATCCTTTTTCTCCATCCCCGCCGGAGACGCAGCACAAATCTCCCTTTGACAAACTTATAATTACAATATGCAGAATCAAATGACTTCCTTTACCAACCCCAATAATAATAATAATAATAATAACATTCATATTCAACAAACTCCTCATACATTCATCACTGATCACAACAATCTCAATCATAATAATAATAAGTATACTAAACGTGTTCATAATAATAATAATATCAACGATAAGAATGTCCTCCTTCGTGTTAGTGGTGCAGGACAAGCTTGCGCTGCATGTAAATACCAACGTCGAAAATGTGCCCCTGACTGTGTTCTTGCCCCTTATTTTCCACATGATCGTCAACGACAGTTCCTCAATGCTCATAAATTGTTTGGGGTCAGCAACATTACCAAGATCATTCGCCACCTTGATCAACCGTTCAAAGATGAGGCAATGCGGACCATCATCTTTCAATCTGATGTCCGTGCTAATGATCCTGTTGGTGGTTGTTACCGTATAATCAGAGACCTGCAACGTCATATTGATTATTGCAAAGCAGAGCTCGATATCGTTCTTCATCAACTCGCCTACTGCAGGGCACAGGCTGTTGCTGCTGCTGCTGTATCTGAACAACAACAGATATTAACAGATCATCATGCAACTGAGGAATCATTTAATGATAATAATTGTGACGGCGTTGTGAATCAAGTAGATGCTCTGGTGAATATTAATAATAATGCATCTTCGTACGATCAACAGCCAATAAATCAGTACAATCCTCACGATAGTTTCTATAATCATCCTCGTTCTGATCAGCAAGCAGAAGATGATCAGCAATACAATGAAATTCAAGATGGGCAATTAGATTTAACAGATATTAACTTCCCTTGGAGCTTGCATGAACAAGAATCCACGTCTACATCAGCTACCAATTCTATGATGAAGCAACTATCTGTTAATGACCAATGTGACAATATCAAGGACCCTATTCTTGAGGGGATTTCAGGTTTCGGAAGTTTCGAACATGATCAAACATTTGATCAACACAGGTCAGTAATGCCCAATGTTCGATCTCTATTCTTTCATTATTTAATTGTGTTATGTTTTGAGTTTAAGCATTTAAAGGATTGCAAAGATCGAATGATGAATTTAAACAACATATAAATCTTTGATTTTCATTTGTCAATTAACATAGTTTGCTCAGTTTTAGGGAAAATGAATAGATCATGGCTTCAAGCCATCAACAAAGATTTGTTTTTTTGGATGGATCTTATGGCATTTCCAGAGTAGTTTTGCACATTGTAATATAGCTACAATACATAGAGAAATGTTATCCATAATTATAGAACATAGAATTTAAATCCTGATCTCGCCTTTTAGTTTTTTAAAACTATTTTAATCTCGAAACCACTCAATATCTATTCCCCAATGAACCACATAGTATAGCCATTAAGAAGAAAAGATAATAAACAAAAAGAGAACAGGTTATGGCATTGTAAGAATTGCTCTTCTTTTTCTTTATTTCTTTCTATATTTTGGACTACAGTTTTGACACTTGTTCATTTCATAATGATGAAGCTATTCAACAAGGGAACAGACTCCAATTGAAGGAAGAGGGTGAATCCTTAGACATGCTTGCACATCAAGATCTAAAGGTGCTGCTACTCTGTTTACCTTCACAAACTGTACTTCGCTGAATTTTTGTAGTAGAGAGATCCGCAAGAGGAAATTTCTGAGAATCAACTGACTTCACAATTTTGCCCGAACTCCCAATGAGTTGTGTATGTTTTGTTCTTCCTTCTTTTAAGTGTCAACCGATCAATCGGTATGCGAAACTAGCTGCCATCAATCTGCTGGGGCCTTCACCCATTGTAAAGCTCCAGAAGGTTTTACTGGAAAAACGAAGGTTCAGAATTTTAGACATGTGATGAAAGTAATAAATAGGCAGTAAAATAATTAGTTTACTTGTGATTTCATGAGTCAAATTATAGTGATGGTGTACATTCACTATTCTGATTTCTTGATACAATTGTTTAATTAGAAGAAAGGCTGAATGCACTTGATATACATTTCAGATTCTTCCTTGTCGATGACACTGTCCATGACAAAACTGAGTAACATAGAAGGCCAATGTTTCATCGTCTTCACCATTTCCACTTTGTTAAAAAAAAAAATTTCCTTCATGTGCAGTTTAAATAAATGAGACTTCAATTTCAACGGCATCCAATCACCAATTTGCATACGAAACTAAGAAATCAGCATACTTAGAGCAACCAAAAATGATTCCCAACCCAACATTCCACTGCTCCTTTAATTTCCTAGTTTCCACTAGCTCATAGCTCCTTGCGACATGGCAATTGGCAACTCAAGCCTGGAACAGTAAAACATAAATGTATTGGTTCAATCTAACTATCCCTTCCTTTTTGTACGAAAATACAACTGAATCATATCCCTCATGCAGGCTCATCAGACTTCGACCCAATTCAGCAGATTAGCGAACAATTAGTCCTTTTAAAACATGCATTCAGACTTCAAAAGATAGAATGAAATTATAGCGAGTAAAAACATATCAAGATGTGACCTTTTTCCTGGAAAATGAAATTGTACATACCTGAGTAATGAAGTGACTGCACCGCCAACTCATATAGGGCTGACCCCTGAAATAAATATAGAGAAGACTGGAAGGGAGGTCAGCTGTTCACATAAGTTCTACAGAGGGCTCCGAGCAGATCTTTGTTTATCGAACAATGGCTTTGGGCTGGTTTAAATATTAGATTGTAGTTTTCCTGCATCGAGCATAGACATAGATTTCTTCATGATGCATAATACAGATAATCTTCTTGTTCTTCTGCACATTGCATAGCAAAGCTCTTTTGGGGTGTGCATCCTTCTTTAGCCATATGAAGGCTTAGAATATTAAGCATTATATGAACATCTTCCATCTCTGAATCCATAGGTTGTCCAGCTAAGAACATGTAAACCTTCTTTTTCACCTCAATCCAACTTTGTCCTGGAGCTTTTTTCAAACCCTGCGTCTTCGCTGATATCCTCACGTTTGCTGAATCCTTCCACCTTCCATTTACAGCATATAAATTACAGAGCAACATGTAGCTTCCCGTCATCCCAGACTCAAGGTTGAAAATCTGAGCAGCAGTTTCTTCTGCGACTTCCGTGTTTTTATACATTTTACAAGAGCTGAGTAGTGCTCCCCAGACACAAGCATTGGGCCTCATTGGCATGTTTTGCACCATTTCACTAGCCTGCTGCAATAGACCAGCACGACCAAGAAGATCTACCATACAAGCATAGTGCTCCATTTGTGGTTCGACTCCAAACACTTTCTTCATCTGATCGAAAACTTTATACCCCTCATCAACAAGGCCTGCATGACTACATGCAGAAAGAACTGCAACAAAAGTAATTCCATCTGGCTTAGTTCCTGCGCTAGTCATCTGTTCAAATGTTTCTAAGGCAGTAGCACCAAGTCCATGCATTCCAAATCCAGATATCATTGTGTTCCATGAAATCAAATCTTTTTTTCCTACTCCCTTAAATACTATGTTTCCTTTCCACAAACTACCGCACTTTATGTACATATTAACTAACCCATTTCCTACCAAAGTACTTTTATCCATTAGATACCTTATTGAATAACCGTGGATTTCCATACCAAGATGGAAGTTTGAAAGCTCAGCACAAACTGATAAAACACTTGAAATCGTAACATCATTGGCCAGTACTCTAGCAACTTGCATATTTCGAAAGATTTCTAAGGACTCCTCATGCCTCTCGGCCATAGAGAATGCCCCTATAACAGCACTCCAACTTATGACATTAGGTTTCATCTTTGGATCATCTAACACTTGTAACTGCAAAAATAACGAATAGGCCTCGTTATATAAACCTGATTCTGCATAACAAGATATTAAAGAATTCCAGCTCACTATAGTTTTTAATTGCAACCTGGAAAAGAGACATTCAGCCTGTCTAACAGCACCACATTTCCCATACGTACACATTAATGAGTTTATCACAATAGAATTATTTTCAAAGCCCCCTTTGATAACGTATCCATGCACCGTCTCACACTTATCAATCCCATTGTCACCAATACAAACTGATATTACTACAGCAATAGCCTCAGCAGTAGCTTCAACTTGTTTCTTTCTCATCAAAACATAAAGTTTCCACGTATCCTGATGACGTCTACACCTAGCAAAACTAGATAACAATGATGTCCAAGTGACAGAATTTGGTTCAAACCCCTGAGGTTCCATCAGCAGAAACGTCTTGTAAGCAGCATCACAGTCAAAGTTCTGCGCAAAACCTGAAACTATAATATTCCATGATACTTGAGTTCTCATAGACATTCCATCAAACACTTTACTTGCAATATCCATACGCCCAATCTTCCCATACATGTTCATCAATTCATTTCCAACATAAAGATGATCTCTAAAACCCATTTGTATAGCGTGACAATGCACTACACTGCAGAGATTATGGTCACCGAACATGCCACATGCTCGAATAATTAACGGAAAACCAAACCCATCAGCCAAATTACCATATTCACGCATCTTAACATAAAGCTTTACAGCTTCTTCACATTTCCCATGGGATACATTAGCCCTCAAGATCGAATTCCACAACAGCAAATTCGAGAAGCAATCAGTTGGGCAGGTTTCAAATACTTTTTGAGCTTCATTGACAAGCCCAAATTTAGAGTAAACGGATATGAGTCTGGCAGCTATAAAAGAAGAATTTGATGATCCAGTGATTATGATATTTTCATGAATTTGCTTCAGCTGTTGAAGATTAAGGCCGCATTGTTGAAGTAAATGGTCCAAGAAGTCAAGAAGCTCACTTTGGGTTTTGTGGGAATGATTGGCTGAAGAGTGACAGTGAAAATGGGTGAAAATTGACGGGAAACAAAGTCTAGTTGAGATTGAAAATGGAGTCTGGGAAATGAAACGCCTTGAACTCGACCTACAACAGTGAAGCATATCCTCGTCGGAAAATTGCTGAAAGATTTGAGAGTAGTAACAAGGTTTGTGGTGGAAGAACTAGAAGTATTTATAGTGGTCCGGTGGTTCATGAGAAGAAAAAGGATGCTGAGATGATAAAGAGAGAGTTTTGTCTATTTATGCATACTTAGCTAGCAAATTCTAATTTAATCGAGTTTCATCATTACGGATATCAAAGTAAAATAAAAGTAATGACAACTTTATCTTGTTTATAATTTGATGTTTAATTTAGACATCATAACTTGACAAAACTCACTATGGAACTAGTAAGTACACGTTATTCAAATTGAATTAAATTAAAGAAACAAGTTTTACATTGAAAGAAAGAATAATGATATTACTTGTAACAACACACGTATAATAAAAAAAACTTACTTGCACCACCGAATGTTTTCATAAAATGAATAAACACATGACATGTCTCTTTCATGTATGTGTACTTATCACTAATCATGGTTAAATGACGTATATTGTCGTCTCTATTTATCACTTAACCATGATAAAATAATATAGTTACAATAGTTGCGGGTAAGTTTTTTCGTCCCAATTACTCTTTTGTGTGGCAAGCCAAACTCTGCAGACTACACATATAACTACTTGCCAAAGAATCAAAATGACAAAACTCACACTTGCGTCTCAGTTTCCCCTGCAAAAAAGGACTAAAAAAGAACCAGTAGAATCTTTACAAACCAGCTGCTCTTCCTAATCTTTCTCTTAAAATCTTTACTCCCATGTACCTGCATCAAAGAAATCAATCAGTATAATTAGCCAATCTTTCTACATATTTTTTGTTTAAAACACAAGATTTGAAAGTCTCATTTACTTGGTATCAAATCAAAATCAAACAAACAAATTGAAACAGACGGGAGTATAATTTACCTGCCCATCATCAACACGGTGGCTTGAGGATTGGTGCCTGGCGACTCGTTGAATGTAGAACCATCAATGACCCGGAGCCTGTTGACATTCATAACCCTGTAATCAGGGGTTACCACCTTGCCTACTTGGCAACCGCCATGGTAGTGCCATATTGTAGTCACTGTGTCTTTGCAGAACTGTTCAAGTGACTCTGTATCATTAGTGTGTTTCGGTATAAGATTAATGTTAGCTTGGACACTCATGTTTAGCAACTTGTCCAGTGTATCCTTGTCACACTGTGCGTAAGTGGTGAAATGTTTTGATTTCACAATCTGCTCCACGATGCGTATGCCATCTACACATCTCTTCAGGTCGCGTGGATGGCTGAAGTAGTTGAAAGTGACGGAAGGACTGTCATCAACCTTGGTGCTCTTCAAGCTAATGTGCCCTGTTGATAAAGGTGTCGCGATCTTTTCTAATATGAAACCTCCCCTGAATGCTTCTTGTGGAACATGTTTCTTGTTTCTTTTGTAGACTTCAATTGCTTCCAGTGTTCTCTGCTTTGGAGGAATTGCGGAGAGTTGCCCTATCTGGTTATGCCCAAACGTGCAATGTATGTCAGAAAAAGGCTTGAAGGTCTAGTGACTTTCATTATGAAGTGATCATAAGGAGTTTTAAGGAGTGTCATGTGAAAAAACTCGAGCACTCAAGTGTCCTAGAAGCCATGTTCTGGCTTTGGCCACTAAAAGTTCTCGGTTTCAGTATGTAAAGTAAAGAGGATATTTCCAACAAGACAAGAACTGATAGTCAAAATCTCGACTGTATACTTGAAAGAAGTTGAAGTTATACGACTAACCTCAGCTGAAACTATACCATGATGGCAATGAATGCTATCTTCGGTTTCTCCATATCCACTACTAGCTTCAATATAGACCCCCATCTTGGTAATTCCTACAGTCTGGATAAGTGACTGCTGAACAGGCCTATTTGTTGGAACAAATATGGTGTTCAAGGGGTTGTCTGACATGCCTTTACCGACAAATTTATTATCAAACACCACCGAGATGTTCAATTTTTTCAATTCAGCCTTTGGTCCTATTCCACTGAGCAACAGAATCTGAGGACTTCCAATTGCACCAGATGACACTATAATTTCACTTCCCTTTCTCTTTGAAAGGAATGCTGTGTGTTGGTTCCCCTTTTCGTCTTTGAAGATGACTCCTACTGCTCTTGGCTTCCTTCCTGCACAATTTTAAAATACTATCATCGTCTCATTGAAGACGGATCCTTTCTAGTTCTACTTCAACTCAATCTTGAACTAAATGTATTAGAGTTATTTGACATGTAATATATACCTGATGTGTCAAATTCAATCTTTTGAACCATCGCATGCACCAAAACATCAAGCTTCTCAGGATTGGCTGAGGTGAGAAGATCAGCTGCAGTCTTCCGATGACCAAATCTATCGAAAAGAGTTCCTCCAAACTTGGTTCCATATATATGATCATAAGTGAATCCATTATAAGGTGATATACCAACTTCTAGTAGACCGTCGCTTACTGCTTTTTGCCATGGTGCTAAGATTGGTTTATGAACAATTTGCTTCTCAATCCAGGGGAATGATTCATTTACCAGTTTAGAATCCCATCCTGCTTTCTTGATATAGCTACAAGTTCAAAGAATCATAGTATCAAATGAATTACCTGATCAATTTGCACCTCAATACAGAAATATATAGTATATGTAAGCCATATTTCTTTAAGTATACAAATTACAGAATTTTCAAGCATGTTAGCATAAGTGAAGACATTAATCCAGGTTCGAGCCCTCAGAATGGATAAACTCCAGGACAAGGAGCATGTCCCTCTAAGTTCGTCCTACGTCACAAAATCAGGTCAGTAGGTTCCAAATACAAATAATAGAAAAAAAGGAAGACTAGTATTACTCATACACTTACATATCCGTTTTATACTTTTTCCGTCTCAAAATACTTGTCGTATTTTTCATTTGTACGTTTCTAAAGAAATCATTAATTAGAAAAGATGTTTGACTGTTTTACCTTTATTTATGTCTGATAATATAATATATCTTCATTGAACATTTTTTACATTTACGTGTTATAATTAAGATATTTGTAGTTTTCAAGAACAAGCTAAGTACTAATACAGATAAATTAACTTGAATTTCTAAATGACAAGTATTTTGAGACGAATAGAGTATTTCTGTTTCAACGACCATCCATGAAATGATAAACAGTAGGATGATTTATAAAGTGACCATCATAAAGAGGAAAATCAAATTTATTGGTCTGAAATAATTTATTATTAAGTACAATAAATGAGGATAGAAGGCTGGTAGTTGGGATGTTTAGAGTATGCAATAGGCTCAAATTCTAGGTACACATATATGGGTTGACAACCAACCATGTCTAGCTGGTCTTTAAATCATTTGTCCATTGTTATATTCCCTGCCAAATCTTTTATCTAAATACAGCCAACAAGGACCACAAATTTGGAGATAGATATGATCACTAGCAACCAAAACTATTAATAAAGATACAGAAGTAACATAGCTATTTTCGTTGAAAAATTTCATTATATAAATAATTAATTTTTTTTTTGTATACGTTCTTAAAAGTGTAAATTATATTTTATCTTATCTCAACCGTTACCCTACTACTCCATATTTAGGAAAAAAATGAAATAAGTCATAAACATTTTGTTACTACTAGCATATACCAAGATCATTAATGGAGTCCAACTGTAGATCATATTGATTTAGAAAGGCTATGTACGATTAGTCTGCTAAATGAACCATCACTATCAATGCCTTCATTTTAATACAATGTACTTAAAAAAAAAAAAGTGGTTTCAACTATTCAAGAAATTGAATGCTATACTTATTTCTTAGTGATTTCAAATTGAATATGGCAATTGGATCGGTCGGGTCATAAATCATGACCCAATCCAAGAATTATAGGTAGATAAAAATTTGATCTCACAATTGACACTCTGATATCATGATAAACGATGCACTTTAGATTCAATTGAAATGAGAATTGCAAAAAGACGTAAAAGTTTATTTTTAGTATAAGAGTCAGGTAAGTGCAAATTGCGAACCTTTGGCTAGCGCGACTATAGAAACCAGCATTGATGCAAGTGCCTCCACCCAAGACTCTAGCTCTTGCATTAAAGACACCATCAGTTGAAGCAAAAATTTGGGAAGCAGAATGAGGAGAAGTGTCAGCCAAAGAGATGTGAAAATTTTGCATTAAGGAGACATTTGCATTGGCAAATGGGACTCCCCCTCTTTCCAGCAACAACACATTGAATTTCTGTGACAAAGTTGCTGCCAATGGACAGCCAGCTGTGCCTCCTCCCACTATTATGTAATCATAATTATGACCCTTGCTGCTACCGCTGCTCCAAGCATTTGATGATGAAAATGAGCTTGCTGGCTTTATGAATGGGTATTTATCTTTCCACGATTCCCATTTTCTTGCTGTTTTACAAAAAAACAGACAACTCCCATTGTTAGAAAACTTAATCTAAAACTCATATTAGGGGATAATTTTATTTTTTTTCCGAAAAATTTTACGTTGTCTCTCACGTAACTGAATAAGTTGTCTGATTTTTTTTTAATTCTTAACTAACTAAACATAAATACAATTCTGATCTTACCACGTAGTTAAAAAATATTTTTTACATTTATCTGGACTTTGATTAAGAGTTTTATGCTCTTGGAAGGTTTGAGACCACTTGTTATATCATGTGGTAAAATTGAAGCTATATTTAAGTTTAATTCATTAACTTAGATGGATTTTAGAGAGAAGTATTTTCTCTATTTTTTTTTCTTTCACAAATTGATGGATCGAAAGATTGTGAATAAATATGAAAAGATTTAAATCTATGAAATAAAAAGAAACCTCATACGGCATGTGTCAGTTGTATGATACATAGAATAATTATTTTTTTTATGTTTTTAGCCCATCGAAAGAACAAGGAACAATAGTTGACAAGAAGAGAACTCCTCTCTTTATTTTTTTCTGTTTTCAACTGGACTACCAAGAAACTATTTTTTCTTTGATGAGTAGAAATAAAGACAAGTGATGAAAAGCAAAAATTAGTACCTTGAGTGAGAGAAGAGTTAAAATTGAGGCATAAAAGCAGTAGCAAAAGCTTGACAATTACAGGCATAACTGCACCAATTACCACTGCCATTGAACTCTCTGTGCCTTTCTTTGAATTGGCCTAATTATATATTCTGTGTGCTACTATCAACATTCACATATATATATATATATATAAACACTAGCACTTGATTCGCTTACAGCTTATAGAATTCCGCAACTATACCATTAATTGCTACAAATATTAGATCATGTTATACGTGGCAGACAGTTTTTTCATTTCAAAATAAATGATATTTTAATATGCGATACAACTCTTAATTAAGAACAACTACTTGTTGCTATAAAGTAAAAAATACATTTTTACTAATTTATTATTATTAAATACCTTAAAATAAATTTAGCTTTTTATTTATGTTAAAAAAAGTATTTAAATAAGGATAAAATTTAAAGAATAGTGTTGATATTTTCTTAATTGGGTCAAATACGACTTATTTTAAAATAAAATGTAAATGTTAAAATATCACTTATTTGAAATAAAAAGAGTAGTGATATAGTGAGTATTATTGAGTCATTATTGTTAAGATTTAATTTATATACACCCTAAAACTTAACTTTTATTTTATTGGTGAGAATTTAATTTTCGCCTAATTTCTCATCATTTCACTTACTCCAAAATTTTAATTTGTTACCAACACAAAAGAGCTCAAGGGAGAGAGGAAGGTTCACTCTTTTATTCCATGAATTAGTTTTTCTGTCTCTATCCATTATGTTTTTTTTTTTTATGTAGAAGCATATATTCATAATTTTTTTTATGAAATACAATTCTTTTTATTAAATATTTATTTTAATGAAATGCTTGTAAATTTAAAATATAACTATTACCAAGAATAAAATGAAAAAAAGTTATCTTATTTTAAACTTTTAAAATGAAAAATAATTTGAAACAAGGAGAGTAATACTCATTTAAGACGAAATAAATGCCTACGGTTGGGGTCGTTTATTAATGCATATTGGTTATCCATTCAATTAATCTATAATGAAAATTGTCTATCATCTTTGTCTAAGCACGTAATTTGGACAACTCACTACTCATAAAGACACACATATAATATTAGTATTATTTTTTAATAATAATTGTTTAATAATTTAATTAATTTAAAATATTAAGAAATAACTTATTTTTGTATCTAACTATTCATACTATTAAATACTCTCTTCGTTTTTTATTTATATGTCATTATTTTTTAAATTTCACGTGCATTAAGAAACTAAGCAAATTTACTATTTTACCATTATTTAATTTTATTGAAATTTAAAATTTTCAATCAATGTATATAAATTAATTTATTTTAATTAATTAATTTAACCAATGAACATAAATCATTTACTTAGTTTTTCTAAATTGGTCAAGAACAAGAGAAAAAGGAACAATATGGTAATTTATGCAATAATTTTATAAAATGATAAATATTATGGATCAACTATTTATAGAATAAAATGATATATTGAAAGGAACCAAGGGAGAGTTATTTATCATCATTAAATTTAATATTGTTCCTATTATTTATTGTTTCTTAATGAATATGTCAAGAGCTATTGTTGCATATAGAATATTACTCTATTATATGTAACCACGATGCACCTTCACAATTTACTCTTTTTATCTAATAATAGTTTTTCATTATATTATTTTGAGATGTTTAATAATATTTGTTAATTTTGTGAAATTAATAAATAATTTTATATTTAGTTCATAATTTTTTATTATTATTAATTATAGTAATTTCTTTTGTTACATTTTTTAAAACATTATGTTGATTATATTAACGTTCATATAGTAAAATTATCTCTTCTATTTATAGTTTATTAAGAAGCGTACAAAATTAGTTGTGGATAACTATTATGGGACAAAGAAAATAATATTTTATGCACCTCGATTTATATGATTCGCCCTTTTTAATTAATTCCAAAACAATTACATATTTTTATATTTAGTACAATTTAACTTTAAAATACTCAACATCTATAATTTTTTTAGATCGATTACAAGTTTCAAATTTTTTTTTCTTCTTAAATTTAATATCAAGTTAAATTATACTTTCCATCTCACTTTTATTTGTCATGTTGCGTTTTTTAAAAGTCAATTTAACTAAATTTTAAAGTTAAATTAGACTACCTTAATTCGATATTTTAAACAAAAAAATTTAATATTCAGAAAATTAAAAGAAAAATATCAATACATTACAATTTTTTACATATCAATATAACAAATATATATATATATATCAATTTAACTTTTTATATTTTAATTCTAAAAAATTAATAATAAAAAATATCATATAAATTAAAATAGAAAACATAACTGAAATAAATTTGTTATTTGCATCATCTCCAAAGCGTTGTTTTCAGCTTAATAGGAAAGTGTGGTTCATTTACGTTTCGTCGTTGCTTAAACGCTATTCACGACACGTTGCCGCATGAGACAAATGAAGTACACAAACTATAGACAAGAGTCCAAAAAATGTCGGTAAAACTATAGTTGTTTGCTGAAATTTTCTCAAACTATTAATATTACTAGTTTTAACATTAAATTTCAGATGTATTATTTTCTTTTGATACTCTTTATCAGTAAGTAACCACACAAAAAAACGTACTAGCCAAACCTAGATCTCCAAAATATGTAATTAATAAGAGTAGTAAAAAAAACGTAGGAGTGAAAACATAAATTACATTACATCCATCAAATAGAAATGATGGTAATTGGTATATACACTACAATAAAAAATAATTTTTAACGATAATAAATATTGATATTAATAAAAAATGTTAAAATTTTTATTAATATTAATTAAATATCATTAGATTTTTTAAAACATATAAAAAAATACTAACCATAACTAATAATTATTTTTGATATAGTCATATTTTTAATTTATCCTAATCAAGCTAGTTAGTTATACCATTTCAACTTTGATCTTGGTAAGTAAATCCAAGAAATTACAACTTTGAATATCATAACATTTATTCATTCAGTTGGAACATGTCATGCATGTGCACATGCCCATAGCAGATTATGTTTTTTTTTTTTTATGTTCACAAGTTTAGTTAGGACATTAATCCTCCTTTTAACTTCCACTTGAAAGTTGGAAATCAATGGAATACTCTCTCGGTTTATAATTATTTGTCCAATTGTTTAATAGTTACTTCTAATTATTTGTTTATTTTGATAAATTAAGAAAAAATAATTTTTTTATCTATTATAATTTTAATTAATTATTTTAAAAAAATATTAAATTCTAAATCTCATCCACTTTATAATCAATAAGAGTAAAATAATAAACTTAATAAGTCAATTAATTAAGTGTCCATTTAAAAATGAATAAATAATAAGGAATAAGTAATTCGTTTGTTACTAGTCAGAAAACATAACATATATAGATGTATACAATAATTACAAAGAATATTTCTTGGTATTATTATTGGCATACAATGAACAAGAAAATAACTGATCAAATAAAAAAAAATATTTAAAAACACAAAGTAAATGGAAAAGTGCATGTGTGCAGTAAATACGCCGCAGTTGGGAGGTGGGAGCTCCAACTTATAACTTGCAACATTCATTGTTTTTTCTTTTCTTCCATGTGAATATATTAAACCTTTGCCACCTCTCATATATTATATATAGAAAGATACAATACTATTAGGTAGATTAATCGGGTTTAGAACGGTGAGGTTTCAGGTTGGTTAATAATTTAGTAATCTGTATTTATAATGTTAACCAATGAACATAAACAGAAATAAGATGAAGCAAAAAATACATAAAATACAAGAATTAATTTGAGTTTATAGAAATTATTGTGTGTCCTTAAGAAATTTAATCCCCTCACTGTACCCAAGGTTATGGATTAATTTCTCTCAAGATAAAACGGATTAAACCTGTTAAAGAAATAGCGGTACCTCAAACGTCTTTAACTTCAACGAACTTAAGAACAGCAACAAGTCACACAGACTCAGTCGATCGGCACTTTGATTTTATTTGAAAAAAAAATAAATGCAGAGAAGAAAATTTTTCAGTGTTTTCAAAAAATCAAAAATTGACTTCCTTTTATAGCCATTTTCAGCAAGGAACATGTCTGTTCAGTGAAATCTGTTGAGACCCATTTTATCCAGAAAGTTGTGTCTTTTGGAAAAAATAACAACTTTTCAGAAAATTGTGTCTGTTAGGAAAATAACGACTCTTTTTTGGAAAGTAACGACTTTTCGAAAAGAGTAACAACTTTTCGGAATGTTACCGTTACCTGCAAATTTATAAGAGATAATTTTAATAGGATTTATTTGATTTAACAAAAACTAATTAAATAAATTTTGTCCAAAAAACAATCAATCACATCATTTGCCAAATCCGAATCTGAATTCGAAGTCAAGGCCCGGGGGGCATCTTCTTTAAGAAGTAATGGAAGTGTTTACTTCTAGAAGGACAACAGTTTCCTTTCTTTTGCCGATATGAGAGAAATGACACTTTGCAAATGACTTTTCATTTTCCCTCCAAAATAATTTCCCCAGTTTTCATATTCTCTCTTTTCTTTTTCCATTCACACTTGCTAAATCCCAACAAGGTTCAAATTCAAAAGCTAGTTATATAAGTTTAAATGGTGTGTTATTGAATTGAATAAAAAAAATTAATTTATTCAAATCTTGATGAATAGAATTACTTCATATATATATATATACTTCAAGAAATCGAAAGGCACCCAAACCAACTTGGAGACTAATGTTTATCAAAAAATATACGCAGTTTTATATTCAAGCTAAGCCAGCTAACCATCTGGAAATCAAATTGACCTTTTTGTGTTCTGTTTTTTCTTTTTTTTTTTTTTAGAGAAAAAGACAGTTGCAATCTTTTGCAATAAATGAAGCAATATCTTGGGCTGGAAAGTTGGGAATTGCCAATTCTAGACCACATGAAATGTAATAGTATCCATCCAATGAGTTATGTACATTCCACAATAAGAATTCTTTTTCTTTTGGTTGGTAAAGTACATTATACAATAAGAAAGTAAAAGGTAAAATGACAATGTAACAGAAGAATAAAAGCTGAACAAAATAGAGAAGGGATAGTAACACAAAAATAGACTAATTTGTTATACCTATTGATAGTTACTTATAACAAATTCACATGCTGCTCAACACATTCACTAGTCCCC